GCTGCTATAAAGCATGCCTGCTCGCCAAGAGCAGCACTGTCGCTCTGAGACAGATGGAAGTAGTCCAAGGGTATGATTAACTCCTTAGTCCTGGCAATTTCCTCATGCTTCTCTTGCCCTAGATTTCAAGATTGACCTCCAGCTTCTCTGCAGATGCACAGTCGCTCAGCTTGATAAATCACATGAATCCCTCTTTTGATCAGAGTTATCTACTATTTACTACTCACGAAGGGAAGTTAATCGTATTCAAAGCACTTCATATGCTACACACATATCCTTCCTTCTTCCTAACAGCACTTTGCATATTTTCCACATTGGCGGTGATGTGGCATCTTCCGCAGTGCAGAGGGTCCACACCAAAGATCCACCTTTATCCTGTTTGTCCTTCTCCTTTGCCTCTACCAACCAGCATCAAATACACCGATCCATAAGAAGAAAAACACGTGAGAGGCACACAATAAGCACTGAATAAGCAAGACTAATTGTGTCCCTTTGCAAACTGAGATTTTCTTGAAATTGGCTGCTTTACCTTGCCAAGAATTTTGCCTGGCTGAGTGTGGTGGCTCACACCTGTAATCCCAGCACTTTGGAAGGCCAAGATGGGCAGATCACTTGAGCCCAGGCGTTCAAGACCGGCCTGGGCAACATGATGAAGATATGCCTCTATCAAAAGTATAAAAATGAGCAAGGTGTGGTGGCTACTGTGGCACTGGGTGGGGCCCGGGGAGGGCTGAGGATCACTTGAGCCTGGGAGGGGGAGGCTGCAGTGCGCTGTGATTACACTACTCTACTCTAGCCTGGGTAACAGAGTGAGATCCTGTCTCAAACAAAACAAAACAAAAAATAGAAAAAATAATTTTGCCATCTCTTCTTGTCCTGTTTGTCTGCTTTTTTCATTTTTGGGGGACATGAGTGGGCCTCTGGTAGGCCAGTTGACTCGCAGTGGTATAAAATAGACAGACGAAAACAATTCTACCGTCATGAGTAGAAAAGAACAGACAATGCACCATCCCACTCTCACATACCCCTTTCTATCACTGCTGGACAGGAGACGTGAGTGAGTGCAGCTGAAGCCCAAACTCCCTCTCTGCCTTGCCAGGGTGATCCAGTTTCAACCTGAAGTACACTTTGCCTATTTGGAGTGAACCATAAATTAAGTCCATTGCTCAGGCAAAACCAAGCAAGAGAAAAGGTTTTTGGGGGATGATCACAGAGGTTTTTAAAAATTTACGTAATGGAAATATCAGTTTTAATTTATCAAGATTGTGTATTGATTATAAAAGATTCTCTGAACTTTAAAGCATACAGTCTGAACTATCAGACACTGAATTTGTGCTGGAATGCCAATTTAGAAAAGAAACCAGGAGACAGGAGAAATGAAAAGATAAGATTGACTTTCCAAAGACATCTGGACATTCTCTAACCTCTTAACACCCTAGAGGGATTAGATTTCTACCCACCCTTAGGTAGGGAAAGGAAAATGCACCCCTTTCTTTTTCTTATATCTAGTCTCATCAGGTCAGATCTCAAGACTTTGAAGTTGGGCTTTCTTATAGGGAAACAGAGAACAGAAACTGGCTTTGTACAGTGTAAACTCATGTCCTTCCACCAAACCCAAGTCAATGAAATCCTGTTGAAACATCGATTTGTACACTGGGTACTCAATGTTGAGGCTCAGTGGAAGCAAAATGAGCCCCTGGATGAGCAAACTTGCAGGACACTGAGGTTCTGGAGGATAAGACCCAGAGTGTATCACAGGCATGCTGCTCCACAAAGAACCAATGTCCATGGTCAGAGCGAGTGCAGGCTTTCCTGTCCCATTCCAGAATTGCAGAACTCAGGAAGCACCTTTTGAGGTCTGAAAAGTGCTTTCCCCCCTGAGAAAAAAGATGAAGGCATGGCCTAATCACTATGGAATTTTATATAAAGAGGTGATAAAAGGCTGAGAGCAAAGAGAGTTTAGGAAACCAGGATGGTTTGTGTAAATGGTTTGTATAAATGGTTTGTGTATAATAGGTTAATACGAGGCTCCAAGTAGCCAGAGATATTGGGCCTAGAACCCCACTTTGGGATATTCAGGACATGGGGAGACCTTAATGAATTCCACTCCTCCCTGAGATTTCTCTGGCAGACAGTACATTAGGCAAGTCATACGGTGGTCTGACTTGAGGCACTTGGGTCATTTTTCTAGAAAATATTGCTTTATTCAAAAGAATAAGTAATGTGATAGAAAATGACATCTGTCACTTGAAAAGTTATTCTCTAATTAGAAACTAGAAAATATGAATGCAATGAATTCAGTAGGTATTTTAAAGTCATTATTTTGAAGAAAGGTTTTAATTTCCATCTTGAAATGGTTACAAATGCTTATCACTTATTGGGATTACTTCTGTGGTCCTGAGCAGAAAATATAGAATAGAAAAAGAATGGCTGTTATTAAAAAGTCAAAAAACAACATGCTGGAGAGGCTGTGGAGAAAAAAATGCTTATACACTGTTGGTGGGAGTGTAAATTAGTTCAGTCATTGTGGAAGACATTGTGGCGATCCCTCAAAGTCCTAGAGGCAGAAATACCGTTTGACCCGGCAATCTATTATCGTGTATATACCCAAAGGAATATAAATCATTCTATTATAAAGATACATGCATGTGTATATTTATCGCAGCACTGTTCGCAATAGAAAAGGCATGGAATCAACCCAAATGTCCATTAACGACAGACTGGGTAAAGAAAATATGGTACACATATGCCGTGAAATACTATACAGCCATAAAAAGGAACAAGATCATGTCCTGTGCAGGGACATGGATGGAGTTGGAAGCCATTATCAAACATTGCATGTTCTCACTTATAAGTGGGAGCTGAATGATGAGACCCATGAAAGGGAAGCACACACTGGCACTTGCCAGTGAGGTGTTGGGGGAGGGAGAACATCAGGAAGAGCAGCTAATAGATGCTGGCTTAATACCTAGGTGATGGGTTGACAGGTGTAGCAAAGCACCATTGCACACGTTTACCTGTGTAACAAACCTGCACATCCTGCACATGTGCCCCTGAACTTAAAATACAAGTTGAATTAAAAGAAAAGCAAAAGCATAGAGAAGGTAGCTTTAGGACAGCAGACAAAGTCAACTTGTCACTTTGAAATGACCAATTCTGAATAGAAAAAGTGCTACAGTAAAGTAAGGGAAATGCCCTATTATATTTGAGGACAGAGAAATTTCTGAGTGGTGACAATGAAAACCTCCATTTTTGGGTGGGGAATGGGCTTGACAAAGGGATTTTTTAAATTAAAAATATCAGAAAAAATGTAAAGAAAATGGCATTGTTCATCATTAAAATCCATGCACATTTTCTCTTGAGGACAAAGACATTTATCATTCGGGAAGAAATCTTCAAATGTATCAGTCCTAGTTTCTGATGAATTGCCTTTGTATTTGTAACCATGTCTTCAAAATGAATCCATATTTTCCTAAAATAGGTAATGATTCATTCTACTAAAGGTCATAATGACATTTTGTGTTTATATATGTAGCTCTACTAAAATATAACGTACACTCCATAAAGTTCACCCGTTTAAAGCATACAATTCACTGGTGTTTGGTATACTTACAAGGTTGTGCAACCATCACCATCATCTATTTTTACAACATTTTCATCATTCCCAGAGAAACCTTGTACTCGTTAATGACAAAGTTTTGTCAACTTTGAGGGCCTTCCCTTGCATCTCAGTGCATTTTGTTGAAGGAATTACTTAAGAAGAAAAGTCAAACAGAAAAAAGAAGTATGCACAGGAAAGAAATGACTGTGTTATATTCTAAATGTGTTTTGATCTAGATTCCTTCTTCCTCCTACTGACACACTCAGAAGCAGTGCAGTCATCAGCTTTTGTGAAAATTCCAAAAGCAATTCCAGAAGATCACGTGCCAGCCACGCAGGACACACAGGCTTGTGTGGTTGTCATGGGGAAGGTTTTGTAATTGAAATAAAAATATTCACACTCAGTCTGCCACCAAAGAGAAAATGCTTTTCACTCATGCACAGCAGATAATTCGCCCAAGTGACAGGTTTTACTTTGGAGGAAGCACCGAGCTAAGCTGGTTTACACAGTCAATGATGGCTCATTCCATGAAAAAGGAACTGGGAAGGAAGGCAGGGTGGTGAAGGTTAGCTAGACAATGCAGAGGTGCCTGCCAGCTAGGCTAGGGCACACCTCCTCCTGCTGCTTCTAATGCTGCGGAGACATGCAGGGATTTCATCTTTACCTCCTGACAGTACCTCAAACCATGCACGTGTGTGTGCCTGCTCCCTCCCTCCCCACCTTTCTCCAATCTTAGTAAGTAAAAAAAAAAAAAAAAGAAACCAAACCAATGGTCTGGTCTGTTCTAGAAGCAACTTTACATACCCGTATTCAACTATCTGTCTATAGCCTTTTAGGCAAAGCAGGATATAAAATACAGCTTGTGTGTGTTTCTTGATGAGGTTTATACATCTCATTCAGTAACGTGTGTCAGGAGAAAGAAGCTAAATCAAGGAGTAAAAAGTCAGGCAGGCAGGACTGTGACTTGCTGGATTATGTGCCTAACATATAGCAAGAGAGAATCTTATCGAAAGATAGGTAGCTCCCGGTGAAATGATATGAAAAAACTCGGAGGAAAACATCTCAAAATAAATGAAGTACTTATTGCTGAAAAATGAACTTAGATCTCAACCAATTCCAACGCTCAGAATTTACCAAACCATTCAGGCCTTTCTAAGTTTCTTGTGTCTTGTTTCATTGCACAACAAGGGATGCTTCATACTTGCTATGAAACAGAGCAAGATGATTTTTGCAGTGATAACCTCCACACATGCATGACAAATCCAAGCATGCAAAATGTTTAACATCCCAGTTCACAGATACTTTAGGGACAAAACCCAATTATGAATTATATGCCACAATAAATAGGGCTCAATGTTTCATAAAGCAATTTATAGTTCATAAAAATGACAAAATGTACCTGTCAGACAGAGCGCGGAGAGCTGTTCTCTGGGCTGCCTGCTGGAAGAAAGAAAGGGCAGAGATGTTTATTTAATATTAACTTTTGAATTATGTGCTCAATCAACACTTAAAAAAAAACCCTGCATTACACACATTTTTGCCATGTGGCCAAATTTTAAATGACTAGCAATGTAGTAGAGAGCCCTGCTGTAAAACATGAAATGTATGTCATGAAATGAACCTTCACGGAGAGTTAACTGAAGCTCGGCAATGCACACCTGCAACTCGGGAGTGAGTGTGCGGGGGCAAAGGACTGCACCCTGGTAAGCTTGGACAGGCCTCAGGAAATTGGCAAAGACCAGAGCTACTTCTCTGAAATCATTTTCCCATTGCTTTGTTGTCCTTCTCTATAAGAAAGAAAAGGTCTGTTTTGATTTCTTTGTCGCTTCTTTTCCAGTGAAGGTGTAATTTTTCACTTGGATTTCAGGTTAAAAAGTCTCCACAGTTGGAATATGGCATGCTGCTAGAAATCTCATGATATGAGATTATTGATTTGTTTTAGGCATAATGATATTATGGCAATGGTTTTTAAAATTCACACTGAAATGTTAATGGATAAAATTATCTGATGTTGAGATTTCCCTTATAATAATACAGTGGGAGGGCTGGGCACAACAGCTCATGCCTGTAATCCCAGCACTTTGGGAGGGTGAGGTGGGCAGATCACCTGAGGTCAGGAGTTTGAGACCATCCTGCCAACATGGTGAAACCCCGTCTCTACTAAAAATAGAAATATTAGCTGGGCGTGGTGGTGTGTGCCTGTGGTCCCAGCTACTACGGAGGCTGAGGAAGAATTACTCAAACCCGGGAGGCAGAGGTTGCAGTGAGCTGAGATTGTGCCATTGCACTGCAGCCTGGGTGACAAGAGTGAAGCTCTGTCTCAAAAAAATAAATAAGAAAAAAATATAGTGGGAGAAGGGCAGAGTAGATGGGCAAATGCATGAGATAAGATGGCCCTGTGTTCAGAACTGCTGGCGCTGGGTGATGAGCACAGGGAAGGTTCTTATATTATTCTGGCCATTCCCTATATGAAATGAATAAAACTTTCATTTTTTATTGAAAACATATTGGTTTGTTGTTTTTTCATTCACTAAAATTAATGTGTGTGTGTGTGCATGCACACTGAAATTTCCCATAATAAAAAACGAAAAGAAAAAACATAAAGAAGATTCCATTTCTCCATCAGATTCTCCCAAGTTTTGTACTTGCTTTTTTCCTCTCTGCCTATTCTATTTTTTGCCCATTTGCCTTCTATCTCTGGGCCAAATGAGGCCGAGGAAGGCAGATGGCACCCGATGCTCTCTGTCTCTGTCTTAAGACCCCTCAATCATGACTTCTCAGCATACACTGGGAAACAAAGAGTGTGCAATGGTCCTTTCCTCCTTGCATGATGTACAGGTCGTGTTTACTGTTTCTTTTTCGTTCTGAGATGAGTCTTGCTCTGTTGCCCAGTCTCAGTTTACTGCAACCTTTGCCTCCCAGGTTCAAGTGATTCTCCTGCCTCAGCCTCCTGAGTACAGGTGCCCGTGACCATGTCTGCCTAATTTTTGCATTTTTAGTAAAGATGGGGTCTCACTATGTTGGCCAGGATGGTCTCAAACTCCTGACCTCAAATGATCTACCTTACCTCCGCCTCCCAAAGTGCTGGGATTACAGGCATGAGCCGCTGTGCCTGGCCTATGTTTACTGTTGACTAAGGACCTCACAATACTTCTCATGCTGATCCCATCAAATTCAGATATCATGAAAAATAGAATCTTCAGGTTAGAAAAAAAATGATACCTCAGAACTATTTTCCCTGTTATGGAAATAAGATACACCCTTGGTGATAGTTCCATATCTTGGGATAAAAATAGAAGTAGAAGAAGTCATTGTCCCAGAGAAGCTCATTCCTAGGTAGGAGCTGGATTACCTTGGCACACTTTTAGAATAACATGAAAATGAAAGATTAAAGCAGGGCAGTGTCAGGAAGGTGCAGGGATGGGCATCCGCTCCTCAAATGGTACCTGGAACTGTGAGCAGGTATCAATACGTACCTGCTGAGTAAATGTTAGATGAACGAATCAGTCAGGGAAGGCTTCCCACTGAAATCGGAGCATACGTTTAGAGACAAGGAGGGATGTGGTCAGGAGAGAGGACGCATTGATATACTGGGCTAGACGGCATAGCAGGGGCCTGTCCCAGCCCAGCCTCTGGCAGCAGCTCTCAACTGGGGCACCCATGACTCCCCAAACCCTGGCTGTCTGGAAATGATGAGGGTGTTTCTGCGCATTACGTTCATGAGCAGGACAAATAATGGCAGTCAGTGTCTGGGGCTGGGTATACTAAAGCCCTTCAAAGAGCAGGAAGGTCCCTTGTACAGTCAAGAACTGTCTCCTGCAGTGTTTCTCTGCAGACACCCTTAAAATGACAAAGGAATGACAAAGGAGAGTAGGTATGAAAGAACTGCGGAAAGAAGGGACGCAAGGAACATGAGCTCCAGCGCCTGGCAAAGGTAAGAGGAACCGAGACAACTTCCCTAAGTAATGCAACAACACTGAATTAGGAAAGCCATCCAGTATGTTGAGCTGGGGATGAAGAGTCCGACACTCTGGGACAGGTTTTGCCATTCATTTGCTATGGACCTTACGCCTGGCCTTCAACCTCCAGCTTGGTTTCCAAAGCACCCTTTCCTTTTCTGAACGGGGTGCCGAAAGAGCCAGTGAGTCCATGTCCAGGCTACTATGGACAATACAAGATATTACTGTCCCCTCCTCGTTCCCTAAATTCTGAATGAAGAGGACCCCATGTCCTGGCATTCCAGTGTCATAGGATTACTTCAATAGATAAAAGAATACAGATCTACTGATCTTCTTTATAAGGGCAGCTGAGGCAGCAGTGGCAGGCCGGGGAAGAGGACCGGAGCCTGAGGAGCCCATGCAGACACCTCCAGGACTGGGTGCTTCCCTCTCCCCTCAGTCCTTTTCCTGTGTTCTTCCAGGGAGCCCGCCTAGAGCACACTGATAAAATCCACCCAGCAGGTAACAGGTGGCATCACTGCTGGCAGGTTTGTCTCCTGCAGAGTTTCCCTCTCACTCAGCAAGATAGCTTTCGCTTTAGGCAGTGACACTTGAGCTTACCTCCCTACTTCTGACTGTGTGGTTGAATACACAAGAAGTATTTTTGAACTGCCCCAAAGAAAGGTGGAATGTATTATTAGTATTGTCTCTTAACATCATCTCAGCAGGAGCCATCAGAGACAGGCTCTTCCTGGAATAACAGAAATCGTTAAGAGGTGTGGCTAAGAGTTCAATAGAAATCTTCAACATGGCATCTGATTTCCCCCCAGCCATGGAAATGCACCAAGGCTGTCCAATATTTTAAAAGGCTACTGACTCTTTTCTCTCCCACCTCCAAACACTTCCTGCTGACTTCTGTGATATGGAAACATTGCTTGCTGATGTGCAGCTTGTCAGAAAATGATTTAAAAAGCAAAAGCAAAACAGACAAGCAAAAAGCAACAAACGCTGCTGTCTGGCCACCACTGGAGTGCCTAGGAATTGAGGAATCCCAGTTGACGGTACTTGCTGGCAGTGCCACAGGACTGATGTTGGCCCTGCCCTCTAATATAAGCTGAGCTGGAAGTTTAGAGCAAGCGCCACTTTCCTTTAGCAGACTGGCGTGATCCTGGGAACAAAGGGTCCTGCTGGGCTGAGAGACAGGGCACTCCACCAGGCACTAAGCAGTGTTCTCCTGTGATTCTTCACTCTTCCAATCTGTCCACGTGATGTATGCTACCACACATGCAACAAGGTGGTGCTTAGCACCATCAATTGCTTGCACTGCTTTGTGTGTGTGCGTGCGTGTGTGTGTGTGTGTGTGTGTGTGTGATGGAGTTTCACTCTTGTTGTTCAGGCTGGAGCGCAATGGTGCGATCTCAGCTCACTGCAACCTCCGTCTCCCGGGTTCAAGTGATTCTCTTGCCTCAACCTCCACAGTAGCTGGGATTACAGGTTACAGGCATGTGCCACCACATCTATCTAATTTTTTGTATTTAGTAGAAACAGGGTTTTACCATATTAGTCAGGCTGGTCTCGAACTCCTGATCTCAAATGATCCACCCACCTTAGTCTCCCAAAGAGCTGGGATTACAGGCATGCGCCACTGCTCTGCTATTTTTCAATGACTGATTTTCATTGTGCTATTTAATTTGCAGTTATTCTATATCATTAAAAATTTTTATAAAAACTCATCATCTATTACAAAACAAGAGGAGTATATGTTATGTGTTTTACATAATTCCTTGAGGAAAAAACCGTTTATGGCATTATATTAATTGTATGTCAAACACCAGAGCGAAGACCACCAAGATGTTTTTCACTGACTCCTCTCTAAAAAGACCTTCAGCTTTGTTCACTGTTTTATTTTACTATTGGAAAATAATAAAACAAATAAATTTTGGAATTAAATGGCATCAGAGAAAAAATTACTTAGGTGACTCATGATTGAAGCTTGAAAAAGTACTCATAGTAAACTAGATGAATTGCCCAATTTCATTCCTTCAAGAGTTATACATTATAGCAACTATATTTTTCTCTTCCTAAATCTCTCATCATCTCTTCCTTACAACTTTCCTTTTATTCAGTTCTCAGAAAAATAGGTTGAGAAGGTTAAGAGAACACTTCATTGATCTTTCCTGAGTTCATTATTCATTCATGATTGACTCTGAAGCTCAAGTCTATGAGACAAAATATGTTTTTTTCTGCCAGAAATTGCCATTTTCAGGTTCTCCTTAAGAGATGACATATTTTCTCTGTCTTTATGATAGCAAGCTTGTTGTTTGGGAACATAATCAGTAGATACGCCGGCTTCAGTGGATGCTAAATGAATTACAAGTCACAATCTGTTATTGAAGGGAAATCAAAGAGGAAATTAAATGCCCTATTGGAATTGGGTCAAGCACTGTGCAAGTTCATGGATACTGGAGTAGGGAAGAAAACAAAAGGAGAGGCTGAAATTCA